CACGGTGAGACTCACACTCACAGCATTGTGGCATTGCACAACAACATTTGTGATTTTAGGACCCGAGCAGAAATCAGCTCATTTGTTCCTCTGTATTTTTTTTTTTAATCTTTACCTCATCTGTTTTTCCCTTTTACAGAGCAGTAACATTTTTTAAAGTACTGAACGAGCTTGAAAAAAATCTTGATTCATTACTAAAAAACCAAAATGATTTCTCTTCATAGATTCTTATGGAGGACTTATCAAAATAAAAAAATGTGTTTATAAGTAAAGACCATTTTAAGATACAGGAATTGTCCATTTTTAACAGGAAATATGTTATGATTTTTCTTTTTAGAAAATTCAGTCAAAATCCATGCATGTTCCAGTGGAGTCCAAGATTTTTGGGTGCTAGCACCTTCACGCCATTAAAACTTAAAAAGAAATATATATATATATATTTTACTGATTTCAAAATGATAAGACAACTCAAAACTGCTCCCTTATTCCAGCTTGTGGACAATCTTTTTGTTTACCCAGTTTAGTAGGCATTTATATCCAGCGCACACAAAACAAAAAAAACCCCAAACTAACAGGAAATTAGTAGGGATGTCCGATACTATCGGCCGACCAATATTATTATCCCGATATTACCATATTTTGTAATATCTGTACGTATGAAAACCCAGTAACGCAGTGCCTGAATTTGGCCAAATGATATGTGCTTTAAAAATAGTTTAATGCTTTCACCACACCTCCTCACAGCCTCTGGTCACTAGATGGCAGCATTGCAGCTCATTTTATTTATCTATATTGTTAATTATTGATTAGCAGGTGCGCAATAGTATTTCAATTCTCTCCCCTAGGGGGCATAAAATAATTAAGAAACACTGTTTTAACCCATCACCTTAGTGAGCAGGCAACACTTAACTTCCACCACTGCCCCGCAATATTAGTATCGGTTGATATCGGAATCGAAAATTAAGTGTCGGATATCGGCAAAAAGTTAATATCGGACATCCTTACAAGTGATTATTAGGTCATGTTGGTGATTTTTTTTTTCTACCAGACCTCAAATAATGCATGATATCATAGCAAATGTTGGGTCATGTCCAAACCTGTCCAGATACCACTGAGAGCTCTCAGGCCAGGCCTTAGATACAGCCTGCCAAAACAACAATACAATAAAGTACAAAAGAGTCATTAACTACCAAAAGGACATTTAATCAGAGCAGTTCCGTTATTTCCGCATTAACAATTCAAAAGAAAGAAAAACACTTTTCATGCAAAGAAGAAGGATCTAGTTCCTGGAGATAAACCTGAGACGGTGGCACGTAGAAAGGACCAGATAGAGATATGTTGTCCTTCCTGCTTCATCTCCATGTTACAGGAGAGTATGACTGTAATTTGCATGACTCATGGCAGGGGTCAGATCGCGTAAATAAAACATGCCGAGGCGCTGCCACTCGCGTGTCAGCCTGGATGTCAGCGTACTGTACATGCGTCAATGTACGGTAAATGAAATCCTGCCTGTATGTAACAGCACACTGGCTGTCTGTAGGTAACAGCGTGTAACAGGCTTTACAGGCTAAGGGTCAAAAGTTAGGGAGTCCGGTAGTAAAGATTATCACAACAGTGTTGGTTTGTTTTACTAGTGTTGAGTTAAGGTTTCAAATTCACATTCTTATATTTGTAAATCAATATAAACCCAGGTATTTTCACTGCTGTAACTGCTCGTGGTTTTCAATGCGTTTGCACCGGGGTCATCTGTGGTCACCGTCGTAACGTTTATGGCTTCCCCTTCCGATCATTCCACCCGACACACCCATGCGTGTGGACAAGTTATTGCAGTAATGGCTCAACTGTTTTTTAATTTTTAATTTTGCCACTAATACTTCTACTAAAATGAGTGATTAGGGTGGAGATTTTGCTGGTCATGGCCTGTAGTTCTTTTTTTTTTTTTTTTTGTTAATAACTCACCGCTACAGCTGACGATTTTTATCATCAGTTTTTGACCTGAAATGTGAAAGTTGTTTCAAATTTTTGCTCTCACCGAAGGTTGAGGTTGCCGCTCGGCTGCTTACGTTGTGGTTTGTGCTGACGCAGATATCCGTAGCTGCTAATTTCGTCCATTACTTCGGCCATGTCATCCTTTCGAAAACAATATCGTGTTTCATGTACTTTCTACCTTTTGTTTTAGAACTATATCACTACACGTTTGACTAAGCTAAACAGGAGCAGCTTGTCGAAGCCAGCCTATGAAATATTAGCTGTTCCTTCTGTGGCCATAGCAAACACAATATAATGAAAGCAAATGTATGGGTTTTTTTTTATTATGATTTTAGTCCAGCTTTACTGTTGGAAAAAACTGGCAGAGTGAAACACATAAAAAAATCAATACAAAATTCTACATTTTGTTGTGTTGCAGGTGTGTTAACCGCCGGACAGGCCTCGGGGCTACACCCCTCTACCTGGCCTGTCAGGAAGGACACCTCTCTGTTGCGGAGTACCTGGTCAGGGACTGCGGCGCTGATGTCCACCTAAGAGCTCATGACGGCATGACCTGCCTGCATGCTGCATCCTACATGGGTCATCAAGCTGTGGTCATTTGGTTGGTCAGTGAAAAAAAATCTACATCTTTGTGACCTTGTTTGTAAAAATGTCTCCTAAAAACTTTTCCTATATTTGTTTTATGTCTCCTAAATACTTTTCCTATATTTGGGTGTCTCCTAAATACCTTTCCTATATTTGTTTTTTTTTTAAAACGTATCTCGATGCAGGTGACTTGCACTGATGTCAGCTTGTCTTGCCAGGACAGAGAAGGTGCTACTGCGTTGCACTTTGCTGCCAGCAGGGGGCACTATTGCATTTTGGAGAGACTGCTTGGCTTTGGTGCAACGGTCATCAAGGATCAATGGGGAGGGACCCCACTTCACGACGCTGCCGAGAATGGGGAGCTGGAGGTTCGACACCAAAGTTTTCACGTTCACTCCCTTTGTTGCAGTGATTTCATTCTGAATTTGTTTTCATGTCACCCTCCAGTGCTGTAGAATCCTCTTAGCCAATCGAGCAGATCCGTCCGACCAAGACATTGATGGCTTCACGGCCGCAGACTTGTCAGAATACAATGGCCACTATGAGTGCTCCAGATATCTGCGTGCCATGGAGACAAACGTAAGCTCTCTATGTTTCGATTTTCCTGTTTACCTCGCCGCATACATCTGAGGCGGTGCAGTCAATAGCAAACATCTGGAAGGTCTTATGATCCTCGGTGAATCATATTCATCTTTGGTGACATGGTGTTCCGTTCCTGGCCAACCGTGTCCTTTCCTGCTCCACTCCTGCCTTGATGGCTTCTCTGTTTAAGAGGTCTTAGGAAGTGGAGAATGATTTCCTTAGGGTTCAGTAGGGCATTACACACTATGATACCGTGAGTTCTGGACGAGATTCTTCGGTTCTCAGCTTTCCTCCGGAGGACTCTGTGAGATTAGCTCTTTTGTTTTGTGCGGGGAGCACGCACTCCTTGATGTGATTGATGAATATTTTAGCGTTAACACCTTGTTTGTGCTGGTGTTTCCTTCCTAAATCAATCTCGCAGCAGTCGAAATGTCCTGCGTTGCGTAATGATTGATAGGTCGAGCCCCTGAAAGTCAAGTATATAGTGTTCATTTAAACTAAAAACAAAGAAAAAACCTATGAAAAGACTATGAACTGAAAGTTTTGATTCAACTTTTAATATTTGCTGGTGTTCAAAGTAGACTTACAACCTTTTTTATTGATGCTTTTTTGAATATTTTTCACATTCACATGTTTCTTTTATTGTCAGTAATCCTTAAAGAAAACATATTGATATTCAAGCACTCATTGTTTCCAGTCTTTACACTTCACTTGACCATTCATACTAGATAGCGTCGTTGAGAAGCTGCCATAAATAAGTGAGCGGCAGAGCGGTGGCACTGACAAACGGATGACGGGAAGTCAGCGAGGTGTGGCTGTTGATGAGGTCCCCTTCAAAAATAATCCTCCCGTCAACAATAGACAGAGCTAATTAACACAGGGGCGGCCGTGGCTTCCAACACAGTCGGAGCTGCCGGCAGCTAAGGGCCTATCAGTTACCCCTCTCCAGCGGCTCAGGTAGAGGGCCCAGGGGCTGAGCCCGTTATGAGATCCACGAGCTTAAGTTTCAACGTTTTTTACCATTCTGATGCCGGGATCCGGAAACTTTATCCCTCTGCGGACTTGGAGAGCAGGATGTCACTGGCTTTAAGCCTGTTTGATAGTGTGTCATGTGGGTTTTTTCCAGTGAGTATTTGAATTTGCTACGTCTGTCACCTTTGGTTACTGTGTAACGGTGTAAAGAGAATGACAGAACGGCGTATTATGTTTCTTGGCAGGGGACGAGTGAGCCACAAAGTGAGGTTTAGAGCACCTTAAGGAATCCTCGGAGTTTGGGTTGCAGTTCACTTTTGAAATACTGACGAAATTAGCGTCTAATCCTGCCGTAAAGGTAACGTGCTCAGTTACAAGGACATGGCGTTTCACGTATGGAAAGTTGAAGTTTGAACTGCCGAAGTATCAGTGGGATCGTCTCATTTCCGAGTGACAATCTAAGTGGATTGGGAAACGGAGTAAGAGAGAACTGTATACTTGGGTTCTTTCCATGTTTGGATCTCTTGTAAATAAGGTCAAACTTGTTCTGTGGTGTCAACCCCCGTTCCTTGTCCTAGAAACAGCCTCGGTCACATCAACAGAGCGGCGTGAGCACTACAGTCAGGCCAAACATAGGACAGAGGAAACACCGTCTTCATCATCACTCCATTGTTTTCTAATCACATTAAACAAGCTCATGCATCAGAATTGAATTCATCCAAACTGCTAGGTTAGCCAAGACTGTTTGTTCCTAAACAACTAGGAGAGTTTTGTACACACTTTTGACATATTTGATATTATTCATGTTTTGATGTGACATATTTTTATGTTTTTTCGCATCAAAATTTACAGTACGGCATATTAAGTGGTGTGTCATAAACATGGTGTAAACATAGTGTCGTGATTAGCACATCTGCAATCCAGGCAGCGAGCAGAGAGTCCTGGGTTTGATTCCCGGAGGAATCGCATATCCCTAATGGCGCCCCCTGTGGCAGCCTGTGGCAGTTGCAAAGACTCACACTGTAAATTTCCCCATTGTGGAATGAATAAGGGACTTTATTATTAGGAGAAGAACATATCGGATTGATATTGGTATCGGATTGATATTAGTATCGGCAGATACTCAAACATAATTGATTTTGTGGCTCTTGTAGCAAATCGGTTTTGAAAAGAGGTTCTGATTTATTTAGTTATTGGGTTGTAAGACATCATTTCGTTTTTGTTTGTTAAGTAAAGTTTATTTTTGGACCAGCCTCAAAAAATGCACATCTCTCCTAAGTTTTGCACGTTTAAAAAAATGAGGCATTGGTATTTATCGGGCTGTTTCTAAACTTTTGGAGTCAATGTGTTTTGACTCAGGAAACATGAAGCTAACAGCTATTTTGTAAGAACTAGTTTTGCTTAACCAGTAGTAGCAAAACTGAATTTTGCAGCTTATTTTTTTTTTTTTTTACAATTGTAAATATTTATTACTCATTTAAATTATATTTTATATTTATACCAAAAAAGATCCATTTGTTTCTCTGTGGTTTCCACCATTAAAAGACGGATTAAAATATCCATTTTCAGCTTGCGCCAGTCTTCCGCAGATACCTCCCTTCGTGCAACAGCGTGGCCGTTGGTTTGACCACGCATTAGTGTCATTACGGGTCATCCTATCCTTTCACTTAATAATTAACGGCATCAGTGTTTATTGTTTATTGCCTACCGGCCCTTGGCTACTGGCAGGGTGCGGACGATGGCGTCAGGCGAGTGGTCTGTGCTGATGTTAGTGGCTCTTCCTCCAACGCACCAGTGAGGCTGAAGCTGGATACCGGGCTGCCCCCCACGGGAGTCAGTGCCTGCGGAGTAACGCTGTGCTGCGGAGTCACGCATGTGTGCACTAGGAGAATTTGTTCAAGGTCAGTGAGATGAGGCTTGCTCTTCTGATTGTCTCTCTTTCTGTGTGCATTTCTCGGGCGAACATTTGTTCATGAGTCTGCTACCGGACAAGTTGAGTAATTATTTTCGGTGAAACGAGGGGAAACTTTGGTAACTCGTTTCCAGGAGCCTACGGCTGACATATGTGTTGGCCGTCTTTTACTTATTTTGATCAGCTGTTGCTTTTTACCGTTAGGAATGACTACACACACCCCCACCGTGACCTAACTCAATCCTCGGGCTGATTAATTGTTGACTTCTGCAAATTGAAGTTGTTTTTTTTTTTTTGCCCCCACACTTTTTTGGAATTTTGTTCTTTTACAAGACGTGATTTCTAAATGAACTCCTTTCACAGAGTTTCAAAACAAACCAGTCAAAAGTCATGTAGAGCAAACAGTGGAAAAGTGTCGTTTTTTTTTTTTTTTTTTTTGGGGGGGTGTTTA